TTTTGCTTTCGAATCTTGTATCCGTTTTATTGAAAAAAAAGCTCATGAGAGCAAACATCATGGTGGACAAATATCTTATTGGATTGATCTTCAAACAATAATACAAACTCAACAAATCAAAGCTCCAACACTGACAGTTATCAATGTAAATATACTTTTTTCCTGAAACTTTTCACTTTCTTATGTCATATTTTAGGAAATCAAATGGCTAGATGGTCGGCTTGGTCCGTATCAGGCTGTTATTAGTGAACAGCTGGCAATTCATATATTTGATCTTGATTTATGTAGTCTCTATCTACGATTCAAAGCTTTCTTCGTGATATATCATACAAGTATTTATGATCGACCCTTCAAATGCCAAAGCTATATTGTTTCATTTTTTGATTCCATCCATAATTTCGTACACTATGGCAATATTGTTATTTTCGTAAAGAGGGACTTCCATTTCTTTGCTCTTGTACAAAAGTATTCGTCGAGTAAAAAATTCATAACAGATTATGTCGACATTCCATTTTCACTACATTCCAAAGGAAATGAGTTGTTTCCATTATTACAATTGTCCAACGAATTTCTTCTTATTCCCGTCGAAAAGATAAGACATAAGTGTGTAAATATTCCATTTGACGGTTTTTGTTGTCTATCGGAAATACGAATCGATTACGAACATGGCTAATAGTGAGTTTCTGAAAAAAGATGATGTTGATTTATTTTTTCCTTTTATTTTTTATTGTATCTTATATATTTTAGGTTGTCCAGATATACAGGAGTATAAAATTTCAACAAAGAACATTTTTTTTTACAAAAATTTATGTTTTATTTGGAGCGTTCAATAATTCACAATTTTCATGATCTTGAAAACGATCAGATAAAAGTATAATAAACTTTACATATACAAGTTTAGAAAAAAAAATGATTATATTGATAATTACACATGAAATGATAATCCAATTACAACATGGAAAAACATCATGTAATAATAGTTACTCTATGGTGTATTTTTTTGTCATGTTGTAATTGGATTATCTTTTCATGTGTAATTTTCAATTTAATTTTTTTTTCTACACTTGTATATATGAAGTGTATTGTGCTTTACTTTGATCATTTCGTGATCATTACAATTGTAAATAGTTGAACGCTATAAATATAATTTAAATTTTCATAGAAAAAAAAGTTTCTTCTTGGAATTTTATTTTCCTTTATATCTTACTTAGTTGTAAATATATTATTTTCAAATTATATGTATACTCTAGATTATTATTATATAATTATGTCTATGACAAACACATATGCTAAACATTACTTGAACCGAAGAACTACTACAGAAATCGAAGTATACAATCTTGTTTTATTTCCATTAGACAATTCGATTGCAGTTGTCAAAAGCAAACAATGTTCGCCAGCTGAACATGATGGTTTTATTTTTGTACAAAGTGGCAAAAAGAAATTCATGGGCGTCATTCTCGAGGAAGGTAAGCAAAGTTTGAAGATGAGATCTTTTTTTTTAAATATATTTCTCTAAACGATATAATACAATTGTTTTGTGTAACTGTTGCTAACACTAGCCTAGTCAGTGATCGATGACCTTATTACCTGTTTGTTTTTACTGGTCTGATGTTTACACTTGAGCAACTTTTAAATTAAGAAGAAATTGTTAAATTACAGGCATTATTTTTTCATAAGAGTATTTTTGCTTGCATTGTTTAAGTTGATGCACAAATCGTTTGCTTTGAGTCACACATATCAATTGATTTACTTATCTGTGTAGGAAGCCTGACACAATGCAGTGTAGCTGCCAATCAATTAACCAAAAAGAAAATCAATCCAGAAATCGAAAGTGATTATGAACGAAATACCGATTCAAATCAATCGAAACAACACAACAGTAGGAAAAATACTATTATCATTTTATATTTTCTTTTGCTCTACTCATTTATCATAGCAACTGCATCGACAATATCCAACTTAAAAAATGTTTCATTTACAGGTACGTTTCTTGAAGCAAAAGCTACTTTTGCATTTTTGGAATATTTTACAGAACAAGGTTCTAATACTCAACAACGTACAGCATCAACAATTACAGTATATAGTGAACGTTCAGGTATGCTCGACATTTTTTATCAATAGTTAAAACAAATGCATTCTTTTCTCATCAGTAAATTGTGCGACTTCTACTCAATCATTAAATAAGAGTTTATCTAAGTTTTTCTCTAGTGGATTTTTTGTCAAATGAAGTGTGTTTTAATTTAGCTACAACCAATAATGAAAATGTTCCAGGTGGAGTATCACCAACATCATTAGGTGAATATTGCTTATCAACATCTAATATTATACATGAGTCGAAGAAAAATGGTGATAAGAACATGTCAAATCTGAAGCACAAACGACGTAAACATTCTCACGATGAAACATTATCAACGACATTGTTACACCTATCTGACAATACAGATCGTGAATCCAATGACAGTGAAAGTGAACTACCCGTTAATGATGAATCTCGTGGTCATACAAATCAATTATCAACAACTGCGACACCTACATTTGCTGGTCATTGTGTCGTAGAAAACAATAAGAAGTCTAAGAAGAAACCAGCCAAATCATCATCTTCAGGTGTGCAGCAACTATTGGCTTTCATGACTAAACTTGAGTCTCAATATTTGAGACCTCTTCTTGTTGAACAAGAACGGATCGAAGCAATAACAAAATGCTTGTCTGATAATAAAAAAAAGATTCAAAACGTCTTAAGGAAACAAAAGGTAATTGATGATTTATTTGATGATTCTTACTTTATTTGTCTGTCTTAGATGAACATTGCATTACTTGAAGTGGATGACAAAGATGAATCGACCAACAATCAAACTTTTCTATCTTCTCTGGTATGATGTCTCTGCTGTAATATATACACAGAAAGTATTCAATTTGACGTTTTCTCTTATTCAGGAACACAAATTACCTGATGGTATTGTTATTGATTTACTTCAAAAAAATGGCATTAAAGAACATGCTAATCGTTATGTAACATCTCTCATGGATGTACTTTTTAAGCCCGAAGAATTATTGGTTATGGAAACAAAAGATATACCAAAAGATGAACGATATATTATGCTGAAAGGTTTGTAAATACTTATTTGTCAATTTTTATGTTGACAACCAATGTTTTTCAGAAGTAGTTCGAAATAAATTTCGACTAACGAAGGAAGAACTTGAAACTATGTGGGCTTAGCTTCATACTGTCATGTTGGCTAAACGTCGAACAATTGCTGGAAAGAGAAAAAGAAGTGAATCAATTAATCAACAAATCAATAATTAACTTATTATATATATATATATATATCATTTGTAAATTTCTTCAATTGTGTATGTAGAACAAGTGAGCTTTAATTAGCATTTATTTTTACTCGAATATTTGAGTTAGTGTTTATTTCTTTTCTTTCTAAATGTTCTAACGAATATGTACCATAACGAACTTTTTTCTTTTATCTATCTACATTTTTTTATTTGAATGTGTATATAACT